AATATATAAGTTGACGCATTATTTTTTATTATAATCACTATCTATTTAAAGTTTATTTTTTGTTCAAGAATTACGTTCTCTTTGACTTATCAAAAAAACAGTGATGCTGAACATACTATTTAATTTAAGAAACAAAAAAGAAAAAGAAAAATCTGTACAGTTTCTGACGGATTGTTGCCACTTTTTAGAAACAAGCCACCGATTTGTATATAAAACTGGATATTGAAGTCTGCACAGGACAAGGAATAGAAATGTACTTTACAGACAACTTACCTTAATTTGTCCCACATTTGAAGATTATGAAGCCTTGGTTAATGGAAGTAAGTTAATGAAAATGATATAATAATATTAAAGTTGCTTTAATGAATCTCAAAATAGAGATCTGGTCTTTAAAGTCCAAAAATTTTATCAAATTTGCCCATTTTAACAGAATCTGGGGAGTTGAATTTCTAAAATTGTTTGCCAATAACCAGGAATATGAGTTCACTGAAAAATTTATGGTGGACCTCGGCATGTTTGCTCAAATTTATAATGACTACATTAATTTGCACAATCCTAAGATAAGACACCCTCAAATCCTTTAAATACACCTTATTTTGATTTACAGTATTCAAAATTTCGAATTTGCTTTGACGACATAAGTAGATGAACGAAAATTTAGTTTCCCGATAATTCACGCTATTAGAACTTTTCCAGAGGATCAACAGATATTAAGTATCCTTCCGACTAGAAAATATTCTATCGACTACTACCTAATATTTCCTTAACAATTCGTTTTAGACGTATTCAAAGAACGCCGCAAAGATTTAGAAACCAAAAAGAATGTTGTGAGTTTGCTGGAAAGCTTTGGAAGTTTTGCGTACACTAAAAAGGTTTTGGAAAATCATTTGGCTGGCATTGTTGAGGAAATTGACAAGATGAAGTTAGGAAAAAACTCGAAACTGCAAAGGGTTCTAGAGAATATTCTAGAACGTCTGGATACTGAAGCTTTCTTTGACTGTACTGATTAATCACTGGAATGATTATGATAAACAAATTGGGACATCAAGTGGTTTCCCTTTAGTCTGAGTTCATCCGTTGCTGCTTTCAAGTTCAATTCAATTTTGTACTTTATTTTCACAAATTGAAATTATGTATTTATTTTTCGAAACATGATTTGAAAAATTTGTAACATTTTCACACAGTTACTTAAAGGGAAATCATCAATTCGGCTCTATAAATTTCTTAGTCTATAGTAATGGTGTTGGTTAATTGTGACAAGACCTTGTGATTTAAACAACAGTTAAAGTGTATTAAAATGGTAAAAATGGATATCCTAAATAGACATTGAAATAATATTTGCTGTAGAATTCTTTCAGGTCATTACACATCTAGATTCCAAATGTAATTGACAAGAAAAACAGAAATATTTTCTTTTTTTTTTTTAAATTTCCATCTCTTGGAAACAGTGTTCCGATTTGATTTAAAATAGCAATGACAAATCTGAACGTAGGTGAAAAAGTGCTAATGATACTAAAAGTTAACACAATTAACCTAAGAATCTCCTATTTTGAAGATTGATTTGAACAGTTAAACGTAACAACTATGTATTTTTCAGTTACAGTTTTTGTATTAACAAGCAGGAAACAAAATAGTTTAAAATTTCAACAAATTTACAATTTTATGCAAAAATATGCTAATATTTGAAAACTTTTAACTCCGCCATATTTAAAGATGGAGGTCTGGGCTTTTTGCATAAAATTTTTACTTACCTTATCTTGAAGAACGTATAAAAAATTTGACAGTGTTTTGACTTTTATATACAAGATGATTAAATTTCCAAGCTATTAATTTCCGCACATTTTTAAAACGAAACGTTCTGTATGTTACAATATTTCGAGTTTATTTAAGCGCATTTTTTTTTATACCAAATTTGTTGAGATCTACCCTAACAAATTTGTATTATTATTTTATTAATCGCGCACTTCTCGATGTTTCAATAATTATTATTACAAATAGAAGAGAGTTTAAGAGAACCCAGAAGGCCAGAATTCAAGACTATGGTTATACAGTTCTTTGTGGACCAGATAGTAAAATTATTTTCAACGATACCGAATGGTCTGTTTTTAAGGCATAACAGACAACTTAGTTTTTAACTAAAATACCTATATATTTTTCTATATACATCACTCCATTATTTATCTCTTCTTAGGTTTTAAAGCCATAATTTATTTTCGACGTCAAGTTGTTCAAATTTTTAAATAAGTGAGTTTTATTGTGATATAGGTAAATAAAATTGGGTTTTAGTATACGGAGTGCTTATAAAAAATTAATTATGACAATTTTCAAAAATCACATCTTGTATTTTACTGCTGCATCTTCTTTTACTTTTGTTCCATTCAATTTTTGTTAAGTATTTTCAACATTTAAAACTGACAGTTATTGAGACATTTTACTTTTTAAGGGACACAGTAAGATGTAGTAATAAAATACAGTGAGTTCCATTTGACAAAAGTGAAATATCTATAACTGAAATTTTAATTTTTTACAAAAACTCTGTATAGAAATTTCAAAAATAACCTATGGTTATAAAGCCTAGGAAGGTGCTTATAAGAATATGTCAAAATATACTGGCTATTCTATTTAAAAAAATAAGTTGTGTGCCATGCCTCTACAAAACACTTTGTATAGGCGACAATAATTTTATTGTATACTACTGAAAGACCAGTACAACTTTAATCCTTGAGTTTTTTTCTATCTCTGTGTATAAAAAGACCCCTTACTTAGCGACCAGTTCGAAATTATTATAAAATATAGGCTGTCTCGATCAAAACATGCTAGGAAATTTTCATTTTACATATTTAATCACCGTGACACTGTGTATAAATAAGTTTAAACGTTGCTCAATTTATTATACTAAGTTGATTCCAAACTCCGATATTTAAAAATGGGGCGACTGTAAACTTTTAAATAGTACCAATTTTTCCCACAACAATAAAAATATCTTGAAAATTGTTATCAAAATATCGTTGTATCTGAGATAGTGTTTTTCCTTTTTTGGTAAATAATTTGAATCTGTAAAAGTACATAGTGTGCTACATGAAAACAGCTTTGGTATGTAAACTTTAAATAGAACACTTGATATATTTGAAAATAGTTGTAAATTGGAACCTTCAATTATTTCTACTAGACTAGATCACAAAACCCATTAGGACACTCAAGATAGAACAACTATATAAATAAAATATCAGACTAGAAATGCAAAAGTAAAAACAATAGAGTATAAAAATCAAAAAATTTAATTATTATTCTGTTCGTGATAAACGCCCAAATAGAGGACGTTTTCTCTATTTTAGTTGGTCCTTTTTCTACCTTTGATAGTGAACACTTTGTTCATTCGGTACATTTAATTTTGTTAAATTAAATGCATTTAAAATGTTTCTCTTTCTATATTCTTTTCCGTATTATTTTATCCAATGAAGTTACTCATTTTATAACCACTTTCGTCTAAAGAATGTAATGATTGTATCCAGGATTATGATATTACAGCTCGTCAATATACAGGGTGAGCCAGTAAAGAAGCGGTCCTCGATATCTCATTAATTATTACAGATAGAAAAATTTAGGAGCTAAAGTTATACGGTTCTTTAACTATCATATATTAAAATTATTTTCATCGTCTTCAGCTTTAGCATCATAGCTTATTTCACAAAATAATTGCAATCATGTTAATTTTAAGATATGTGTCGCAATATTTTGTCGTTCACTCTGTAAAATAAAAAATCGCGATAATTATTAACTTCAAATATAGAAAATACTTAAATTAAAAGAAAGAGAACAAAAAAAACAGATTGAGATGCGGTAATAAAATACAGGGTGTTCTAACTAAGAAAGTGAAAAATCGATATTTGAAAATTTTAAATTGTTACAATTGTAACAATTGTAATTTAATTTTTGTTTAAACACTCTGTAAACTAAGACTCAATTTATTTGTACTAAAACAAAACGAATATCTTTATTTATCTCTCCAAAAAATATTGTAACACAGATTTTAAACTGTGTTTAGAAAGCCTAAGATGACGGAACACTTCAAATACTTATTTTTTTTTATATTTATAATAATAATAATTAATGAGAAACCGATGAGCGCGCACTTAGTATTTCACCCTGTATATAGTTTCGATCTGGTTGAGTGAGGAGTACAAGTGGTGGCAATTATTTTTTTGCTTTAATAAATTACGCTTGTATGTTAGACAAACTTATCATTTTCCGATATTTCACCACGTAAGACCTGACTCAACTTAATGTCAGGTGATTTGTTTCGAAATGAGGCTTAATAATTCAACGAATAAAAACCAAAAAACACCCGTGAAATTTGTTTAGTTTAGTAGAGATTACAGCTCTCTAATGTTAACTAAGAGTCTCGAGTTTAATGCGCCACGTTATAAAATCCTATAAAAAATGATAGTGATATTTATACTTACCGAAGTACGTGTCAAAATGAGGGAACTTTGAGAAACTTATTGAACACTTTTGTTTTATTCGCGTGATGAACTACTTTTCCATCAAACTTCGAATTTACGCCGGAAAATCATGAACAAGCAGTAACATGGCATCAACTGTTCACATTAACTGAAAGCAATCGTCATAACTTAGTAACCCGCATTTCTACCTAAATTTTGCAAATGAAACTTCTGCGAAACACTTCATCTAACCCACGTATAGGTAACTACACTAAAATGTCAAGTTTGATAACGAACAGAAATTCGTGCTTTGTGCAAGTGCCACTTTAACTAATGGCCTCCCCCATCCCCCAATGTTAGTTACGCCACTGCTCACGTTTTCCTGAACGGAATGAGGTAGCGCAAACGAGAACTTGTCTCATTAAGGATAACGGCTCGCCGGAGTGATTAATTCTGGGTAAATAACCAACAATAAGACAATTTCGAGAGAATGATAAGAACGATTTATGAGTGCCCTATCATTTTTTTCGTGCAAAATTCAAACGAAACACGTTTTACCTTACTCCTGTTCCTCGGAGCGAAGTCCTCCTTTGATGTTTTCCTCCTCTTGTCTTTGAGAATCATTCGAGCAGCCGCGAACGCCATTTTAGCTTGCTTTTGGTGCGTCTCGTGTGATAGTCGCAATCGTATAATTACATTGCCTTTAAACTCGAGAGGCTATTATTGTATTGCTTCTAATTTTATTGCTGATGTATTTGCGTTCGTACTTTTTCTGGTGTCATGTTCGCTGTTGAAACAGGATGGACATGGCAGAGTGCTGCTGACTAGTGCAAATAAAAGCGATCGACCGGAAGCAGAACAGCACTAAACGAGCACGAAATTTCAATTACGGGAAAATTGTTGCTTATTTTCTGAGAGGATTTTAACTGCAAGGAACGGGTTCGGAGACGATTCAATTTAAATTGGGCTTAGTATGATTTTATAAATGCGAAAGAGATTTCGACGACGTTGCAATGCAAAGATCGGAAGTTGACTGTAACAATTAATAAATACATAAGAACGTAAGAATTAACTGCAAGAGCAAATTCTACGAAATACGATGGCGACTAACAAGAGTTTGTTTTTTTGCTCCACATACGGGTCACTTTTTTAGACGTTCTTAAAGAACGTCTCTCGACCACAATGTTGCAGAAAATGAAAACGTATTTGCTGAGGAAAATGAGTACATATTTAGTGGTGTTGAAAACATTACCAACGTTATAATATTGAAAAAAGATAACATTAATATCTCTTGTTTACATTAAGAATAATAACAATTAAATCCAAAAATAGAAAGTATTGTCCATCTGACTGACAAAGAGCTACTTTCATGTTTTTTAGAAGTTTCATGGCCTCTAGAATCTAAAAACGTAAATCTCGCACTTCCGTCTGTCTGTCCTCTGTCTGTCGTCTGTCACCTATATCGAGTTTTAGTAAGATAATCTTCAAAATAACTGGATTAATTGTTATCAAATTATACACTCGTGGGTAAAAATATGAAACATTTTGAAATTTTCATTATTATTTTTTAAACACTTTGTATTTGAAAGAATACTTTAATTTAAACGTTTTAGGTAAATAATTTGTCAACTTGAATGTTTTTTGAAAATATATTTGATTGAATACTTTATATTTTTCGAATCAGCCAGTGAAGATTTATTTTCCAGAAATTTTTAGAATTTTTAGGCAACTTTTCAAAAATCTCATTTTTTTTTATGAAACAGTATATATTTTTTAAATATTCTCATTAGTTTATTCCTAGATTTCTGACTACAGTTTCTTTCTTTTTGAAATTCCGATACGACGTTGCCACGTCATTCCAATTTTATCGAAATTTTTTTCCAAGGATTTACAATTTTCAAATGTCGATATTTTAGTTTTTTCACCCTGTAGTAATAAAATATAGAGTGTTCTATTTTAAAAAACTGAAATATCGATATTTGAAAACTGTCATAATAAAAGGAAAAATTTATAAACACTCTGTATAAGAAAATTTTATTTTTTATTTTAGTTAACATCACAACAAAGCAGGAAATTTGATTTACTTCTCCACAAAATATTATACATAGCTGTAAAAAATCTCCCTGCTGGAATTTTTTGTAGATCCTTCTATTGCCCAAAAATTTCAAGAAAATTGGTATATTGGTCACATCGGTATTTCAAAAATAAATTGTAGTACAGCTTGAGGCTAATCGAAATATGTAAAAATATGTAGGACGTTTCATTAAAAAAAATAAACGGAGGTGGATGTTACGCCTTAAAAACAGAACACTCTATGTATATAGTTAAAAAAATAATTTTAGAGTATAGTTCTCAGAGAACCGTACAACTTTTTCTTCTATTTCTAATAATTAATGGTAAATCGAGGAACGCACGCTTAGTAACTCACCCTGGATATACGTTTTTGGTTTATAAACGCTAACCCAACTTTTTTCTAGTCATCCCTACCAACAATGTGATGACGTCACCTCAAAATTTTGCATGATAAATTTTATTTAAATTTTATAAACTAACATACTCCTCCACTTGTGGTTTATGAATCTTTCTTGATTTTTTACGCTAGATTTTGGTTTTGCACTTATATATTGCGAGATGTTGTAATACCATTTTGATTTTTGTTTAATCTAGACGCCTTCGTAATTTGGTCACATTTTTATTTTTTATTAATAATCTTTTGAGATACCGCTATGAACTTTCATGTGAATATGAATGAACAAAATTTACTTATGTTTTCTGTGTCCTGATTTAATATTAATGTCTCAATACAAGTTCCACGTTCATATAACCTATGAGATTAATTATATGTAAAACCTGATACAGGGCGAACCATAAACATGCTCCTGAATCAGACATAATTTATTTTTCAATACGGTGGTAAAAAAATATTATACAGAACTTTCATATATCATACCTAGGCTGATTAAAAAATGGCGCACTAATTTGAAAAAAAATAATATTTTTTTTGTTTTTGCAAATGAACGTCAAATGGACGCAATGAATTCTTTAATGATTTTTCTCGAACTTAGAGTTGTGAACTTACTACTACGAGTATACCATTGAGTTAGTGCGTCATTTTTTAATTACCTTGTATATTTTTCTGAAAGTATGAAAATCGTTTACTTGAAAGTTATAATCAATAAAGTTGAATGTTTGATGGTGAGTTTTCAAAAAACTTTACGTGTTGGAAAAAGATGTTTTTCTAATTCAGTTCAATACCGAAAAAAATTCGAAAAATGTCAAATGGACTGTTAAATAGTTGCTGTGTCAACATCATTATTTTAAAAATAAACTCCAAAGCCTACTAGATGATTTTTTTCAGCCATATCGTGCTTTAAAACAGAGGAGTAAATTTATATAAGAATTCTAGAATTTAGACTTTAAGTTATATGGATAATTCTATATATATAGTTTTAAGAAGTCGAATGAAATTTAAAATAACAGATATAATTTAAATAAATTGCCAATTTACAATTTGCCGAATTCCATTACCTTATTGAGCATTAAAAAAAATTGCTCGAAAATTCAATTAACATATTGTTACGAAATAAACCCATACGCCGGCTGGTACGACGCCTATGGGTTTTAGTATGTACAGCGATGACTCATTGTCGGTGACGGCGGCCGGAGAAAAGCCTGGAAGCCGAAGTCGCGATGAGCAATCCAGAAAGACCTCGACTGCGGAACTTCTAGAAGGGAACTTTTAATAGAGCCACCTTCGGGAACGATTATTATTCAGTCAATTCAGTTAACGAGTTGAGTAAAGTCAAGGTGCCCTGGAATTATTCTGTACATAATCGCTGCGTAATCAGTCGTGTAAATTCGAGTTATATTAAGAAATAAATTGTTGTGTTTTACCCACGTCGATTTTAATCACCGATCAACGTAACAATATGCAAATTGAAAATACTGAGCTTAAAGTTTAAAAATCGTGCTCGTGAAATTAAATCTCAAGAATTCCTGACCAAGGGGCCAATTATTAGAAAAATATTTTTAGGTTCAGTCCGCTAGCGACAAAAATTAATAATTAAATAATGTAATCCATTCCCAAGTACTAAGATTTTTGTACATAAGTAGATAGTACATACTACTTATGTACAAAACAATAAAAAAAAACTGGTCTGGAGTTATAGAGTAAAAAAATATAAGTAAAATGTTTTAGTAGTTCTAACGAAGTTTAAAAACCTGCAAAACAAAATTTCTAAAAATTCCTAGAAAATTCAGAATTTCCAAAAGTGTTTGAAATTTAGAAACTTCAAAATTTCAAAATTCCAGAAGGTCCAAAACCGTCAAAACTATAATATTTTAGCAATTTTAAACTGTTTCTTAATCACAGAAATACGAAAACTTTAAAAGAGCCGCAAGTAATAAAACACCTTCAAGTTTTATAAATTTAAAAAATTTCCAAAGTTTCGATAAATTAGAAAATTCCAAAAATGTTTAAAAATTCTACAAATTCCATATACATACTTCATAATGCCAAAAATTACAAAAAGTTAATATTTTCAATAATTTCAGAGACTTAAACAATTCCAAAAACTACAAAAGTTTTAATAAATAGAAAATTTAAAAAATTAAAAATTGCAAAAATGTTATTAAATACCTAGTGGGAATTCGAAAACTCCATACATTCTAAAATTAGTCAAAAATTAGTGTTAAAAATCTAGAAATACTACAATTTCAAAAAACTTGACAACATTCTAACAATTTTAATTTTTATATTTTAGTACTTTGAAAATCTAGGTCCTAAAAATTCCAAATATTCGATAAATTAGAAAATTCAAAAAAACTTTAAACGCTACAAATTTTCGGATACTTCACAATGTAAGAAATACAAAAACTTTAATATTTTCAGAAATTCCAATGACTTAAATATTTCCAAAACAGAAGTTTGAAATTTGCAAAAGTTTCTCTTATCATGGAAATTCGAAAACTGCATACATTCCAAAAATAGTGAAAATGATTGAAAGTTTGAAAATTTTTGAAAACTCCTAGAAATCTCAGAACTTTCATAAGTGCCAAAAATGTAGAAACCTAAAGTCAAAAACTAAACAAATAAGTACGTATTTTGTTACTAAAATGCAACATATAACTTAGTTTTTTTAAACGAAACACCTTATATATTCTTACACCTCCTAATTACTCTCGTCTTAGGCTTTACGAGCAAAATTTATTAATGAAATTATAGTGCGACGGTGCCACGGTATTAAAAACAGTTAAAATCGACGTAAAAGGGTCATTTTTGACATGAGTGTTTCAATATTTTCTGGACAGATAATGCACTTTATTGTACACTTCACGGAGTGTATGCAAAAATGTTCAACTATATTTATTAAATATTCGTATCTCAGTTCTTCAGTTTTTCAAATCAAATATCCTCCACTTTATTACTCCTATTTTATTTCACTCTTTTTTCGTTCGATTTCGATGGGTATTTTTGTAGTTCTGTTAAAAGAGTGTCGCAGAAACAAAAAATTTTAGGCGTAGAGAACACAAAAAAAAAACAGAATAAGGTGCAATAAAAATGTTAGAAAACTGAGATATGACGACTTGAAAGTTATAATGTTTACTTAGTTTTATTAAAATTATTAATTATTTGGTTATAGTCGTAGAAAAAGCACAGTACGTAATACGTTTACAAACTTCTCTAGGAACTCGTTTAAACACGCGCTCCGCTTGTGTTTAAATAAACTCGTGCTAAAGAAGTGATTATAAAACGTGTTACATGACCATTTTTACTATTTAGCCAAA